CAGGTAGTCCCCAGTTTAAGAACGAGTTCCATTCCCAAGGTCTGTCCTTAAGTTGAATTTGCATGTAAGCTGGAACAGTATTACTGTATAATACTGTATGTGGTATTGTGTAATTAACTTAAATCATTGTGTATTTAACTCAAATCATTGTTTATTTAACTTGAATTTTGCTACAATAGGCTCCATTCTTAACTATGGGTTGTCCATAAACTGGGTATTCTTAGCCTGGGGACTACAGGTAGTCCTTGCTTAACAACCTTTCATTTAACGACAGTCTGGAGTTTCAACAGCCTTGAGAAACGTGCTTTTCAACCCCTGCGGTCACATGATCACAATTTGCAACCTTTTTTACAATGGCTGTTAAGTGAATCATGTGGTTGTTAAGCAAATCACGTGGTCATTAAGTGAATTCCGGCAAAAAAATCAATGGGGAAGCCAGATTCGCTTAAAGACCTTGGTGATTCACTTAACAACCATCATAAAAGGTCATAAAATCAGCTCCAATTCACTTAATGACCAAATCACTTAGTGACCTAAATTTCGGTCCCTATTGTGGTTGGATAGCGAGGACTACCTGTACTTGTATTTTCACAATCTCTTGGCATAACTAGATGTTCCAACTCCACTTCCCACAAAGTACAGTAGTTTGTAATAGGGAGAAGAGATCTGCTTTTCTAGGGTTGCAGAATCTATTGTTCATTTTTCTACAATATAGCCAAAAAACACAGATTATTCTGGATCAGGTGGAGTCCACAGCAAAATGTTTAGGAAATACCTTCTATATATGCTTCATCATGATCTAGCAGCTGCTCTGTTGTTTCCAAATCCAGTACTGGACCACGAAACCCTCGAGAACAGGATGCTTTTTTTAATGAAAAAGCTTCAGAAACAGCAAATTCAGAGGCTTGTTCCACCCGCTGAAATTTTTTTAAAAAATTAGAAAAGTTGTTAAGATCCACTTATTTTGTCTAGCATAATAGGAGAGGTCATGCTTTGATTGGTAGTGGAGTTGCAAGCACATGGTAGCTATTCTGCTGGTTTTTTTATTCTAATTGGTCCTTTTATGTATTTGGGGGGTGTTCTCTTTTACTGATGTATTATTTTATAATGACATTGTTAGCCACCTAAGTTTTTTGAGACTGGGCAGGGTATTAATTATTAATTAGAAATATTTAGAATAGCACCCGCTAAAATGACTGGAATTTAAATTATCTGTCCCACTGATTTCAATGAATCTGCTTTAAGCATAATTTCAAGCTGTTTGCCAATTTTATCATCCCTTAGAATTTATTTATTAATTATTTAAGATTGTTTTATATATTGTATTTTAATTTATTTTATCTCTACTGTAAACCGCCCAGAGTCGCTTTTTAATGAGATGGGCAGTGACAAATTTGATATATAAATAAATAAAAATAAATAACTAAAGCCCATAACAATTCTAATGCCAATATCAAGTTTCTTAGAGGATGTTAGGATTAGGTGGTCTCAGCAATACACATGAAAAGCTCTTCAGAAATACAATATCACTGGATGGATTTCCACAGGTAAATAGCAAAGAAAGGACTACGTAAATCTATCCCAGCCTGTAGTTTTATTTTTCTTCTCCTATTATTGCTAATGGGAGTCTATCACTTAACAGTCCAACTTTGGACTGTACTAGAAGTATGTATTACTGAAAAAATGTTGCTGTCTTCAAAATAAGGGATTTTTAATTCCACAAATCCAGGTTTTAAAGCCCCAAGTGCTTCTCAGTTGTCTTTAGCAGTCTAGAAGAGCATGATTAATAGCAATTACAAGGCTTAAGATCCCATTTATATATGTATGTATTAGATTTATATCCCACCATTTTTCCAAGAGCTCAGGGCAGTTTACAAGAGGAGTTCCCTTTATTTTATCCTCACAACAGCAACACTGTGAAGTAGATTGGTCTGAGAGAGAGTGACTGGCCCAGGGTTTCCATGGCTAAGAGAGGGTTTGAATTTGGATCATCCTAGTCCAACCCTTAATCATTATGCCACACTGGCTCTATCAGTAAATTATAGATTATACACATTTCTCAGCATAGTTACTTAAATTTAAATATGTTTATTATTTTCTTCTAAGAATAATTGTAATAGACTTTAACCTTTGTGTACTTATTATTACAGTCCAATCTCATCCATAATTATTCAGAAAATGAGGCCCATTGGATTAAATGAATCTTACTCCCACATCAGGGAATTCAAGATTTCTTCCCACTGAATAAAAAAGATATTTGTTTTCAGATATTTGAGACTGAGCATTACTTTATTTTTCCTTACCTTAATCCAGTGCTCTACACTATCAGCATCAAACTGTGTCTGGGAACAACAATTAAAATATTTTAACATTCAGTTAAAGATAAACATTAAAGTGAAATTAAAAGATCTCTATGGATGTCTTTATATGAGATTCCCCATTTTGTAAAACTCTAATAAAACTAGTTACTATTATTTTTACTTATTTACTATATTTATGTAATGCTATTCAATAGGCATATTATTTGATTTACAACATTAACTCATTTATTCTATTGAGTTGTATACTTACAACTCATTAACTCATATTAACTTTATTGTAAAACATTAACTCATGTTTTACACTAAAAGTTATCAAAATAAATATTGAGCTAAAAAATCAGTTATTACCCTAAGCACACTTACAAGGAAGGATGGAAGTAAACATACTTAGGTGTGTACTAGAAATAAATTGCAGATGTGCTTTTTTTCTGTTCTCTTTCACTGATCAACAGTGCTCTGTGGTTATTCATAATCTCTGTAAGAAGGCCCACTTAGATGGCAGTGCAAAGTTGACTTTGATCTCAAAAAGCTACATTGGGTCATATCTAATTATTTCTTGGATGGGAAACCACTGACATATCTCAGGGCTGTGGGCTAGACTGAAAATTAAAAAAAAATCCCAGATGCAGGCTACACTGGGATGTCAGAAAACCACTTCTGTATTGTTCCCAAGAAAACTACATCAATGTATTCACAAAGTCATTAGCAGTTGAGCTAGACTTGAAGTAGACTTTACATTTCCTGTAATAAGGCACTCCCTGAATTTTATCAGAGCATCACTACAGTGCAACAGTGCCCTTTGATTGGCCATCTGTTTTCCATAGCAAGAACCAGAAGATTAAGGGAAGCCCACCTGCAGGACTGGAAGGCTACTGCTCGCCAGCAATTGCTACCTCTCACTACAACTGTCCTGGTACCCTGAGTCTCCATGAATTGGTCTAATTTCAGTTGGCCCTCACCATATCCTGTGGCAACGAGTTCCGTATGCGCTGTGTGAATAGTTTCTCGCTATTCAGTGTCATTAGGTAAAGGCACACTTTAACATTATCCAAAAATGTGACCGCTGAACAGCCAGCACAGACTGGAAAGCGACTTCAGTAATAACCGGCCGACCGAGTCAGCGCCACAGCCTTCTTATCTACCTTTTGCCGCGATGGAGGCTGATTGAAACGTCGCCAACGGTAAAGCTCAGCGCGGGATCGCACGACCGCCATTGGAAAAGCCACAAGGAAACACCTCGATTTCCTCTCCGCCTCGCACTGCAATTATTTCCCGCGCAATTCAGGTTGGGAGGCGACGTCCTTTCCCTAAAGCCGGACCGACGACCGACAGCGAAGGCAAAGTGCGTAATCCGCTTCGCAGCTCGACCGGAGAGTGGCGTCTTCGTCATGGCAACCCTTCCACCTAGCAGATGCGCGGACGCTTCTTTCCCTCCTTCCTATCAACTCTTCGCCGTCGACTTATTATGACGTAGGCATTTTTCATTGGAGAACCAGTGTTACGGAAAAATGAGCGGCCGTAGCGGAAACGGCGCGTTATCGCGTGCGTGCATTGAGGGGTAAGTGCGATTGCGCGCGGTTCCACTGTTAATTGCGCTCTAGGGCAAAAGTAGGTACCGTATTATGCAGGTCCGGAGTTTGTTAATTTCGTTTCCTACTTTCTTTATATAGTGTGTTCATAGGACGCCCTCCCCCCGTGCTTTCAGATGCATTGTAATGATGGCTTCCATATCCCTCAGCAAGCTGATTCCGGAGATGCTGTTAAAGCACGTTTGGAAGGCATTGGGTTGGGTTTTCTGTACGTAATAGGCAAAACACCTAAGAAAAGAAATTTATACCTGCTTCGCTATTGCGGTGTGGAGGGCATCTGCTATAGAGAAAACTAGCACAAGACTCTGCAAACCTTTTTTATATAGTGGAAGAAAAGCATTCAGCATCATGAATCGATCTCTAGTTTGGGGCTATGAAGCCTGAGTTGCAAAATCCGGAGGGCCACAAGATGGCAGCATAGAGAGACAAGAAAATATACCCGATGCTGCCCTTCAGTGTTCATCTGGACTTTTGCATGAAGCCCAGATCTAGTAGCCATGCCACATGGCAATATTCCAGTCCACTACCGGTGTTATAAATACTCATTATTGTCTAGTCTATATAAGTGGCCTGTTTTGGTGTATAAATCTGGTAAGGTAACCTGATGTCTTCCAGATACTTTAGATTGTACTTCATGCAGTCCATTCGCATTGGTGCTTATGAAAGTTGAGCATAGTAACAAATTACTTAGATGCACAGAAGTTAGTAATGCCCTCTGTGATTAGAAAGAAACATGAGCGTTTCCCTTTGTTTTTGTTTTTTCTAAGTGATAAGGAGCTTGAGAATCTATGTTGCTGCCCTTCAGCTGTTATCTTCTATCCCCAGTGATGGGAGGCATTTGGAGTTAACCATGAGGTGCCTTTCTGGACACCACAGTTGACCCAACATTCCTACTTTAGCAAACATTCAATATTGATTGGGGATGTTTATGTTCCATATTGAATTTTGGGCCATCCAAGTATTATGTACCAAATTTTTGCTGATTCTTTTCATCTTTCCCCACATTAGCATTCTATAAAGGGCTCTTTGTGTAATGTGACCAAAATATGATAATTTGAGTCTGGGCATTTGTTCCTTGAATGAGAATTCTGGATTGTATTGTTCTGTGCTATTCATTTATAACTGCATGCAAAGAGTAATAATTTGTAGATGAAGTACATAGTACTGCTGATAGTTATATTAGTCTTTTTATTATAAGCTGAAGAAATGAAGAACATTTTTTAAAATTTATTTCAAGATATGAAAAGTAGCATAAATAGAATTTTGCATTCAAGCTGTAAATTTAAAATAGCAAGGAATTAACATTTTTCTGTACTGGGTGCAATATACTCAAGGGTATAATGGCTGTATAAATGTTGCTGCTTTTGCCACTTTGGATGGAACAATAATGAAGTTAAGAAATGCTAACTAATTGATCACTGTTGCAATGATACCAATAAAGTTACTTCTCCTGCTTTTACACCCTCCTTTACACTAGAGAAGATCCTTATTCTGCTTTAACTGAGGTCTTAATGCAGGGTGTACTAACCAGAGGCTATATAACGACTATATCTCTTCTGGCCCCATGAGCAGGGCCATATTTTTAAATCTGGTTTAGAAGGTTGGAGGGTGGTCCCTTAAAAAAAAACAAAAAACTGATCCTAAAGATTTATTTAAGAATATTTATTCACAGACTTGAAAAAATATGAAGATATTTTAAGATGAAGAAAGCTAAAATTGTCTTAGCTAGGAAGAATTGCAGTACTAAAATGAATATTTTAACAAGGTTTAGCTTCCTATTCAAATGATTCCCGTATAAATTGAAGACAAGGTATTAAACAAGTAGGTGAGACAAAGAACTAACTTTATATGGTCTAACAAAAGGCTTAAGATTTTACAAGTCCTGAAAGAAAGAGGTGGATTGGTAATACCAAATTTCAAATTGTATTTTAAGCCAGGTGCTTAATTTAGATTAAAGATGGATTTTGTCACCTTACGGCTGGGTTACTTCTATTAAGGAAGCAGGTTTCCCTCATGGTTTATATAAATATCCTTGGTTCTGTACAAACAGAAAATACAACCTATAAGAGATCATTCAGTTATAACCAACTTATTGAAAATATGAGATAAATATAGAAAAAGAATTAGCCCTGACTTTTAGCCCCTAGCTTCAATATTAAATATTATTTTCATGTAGGTAAAGATAAAAAAAATTGACCAGTGAAGAGATATAACTTATACAGTCTGTAAGATTTAATTATTAATAAAATTAATATGAAATATTAAAAATTAATATAATATTGAGATTCTTCATTCATAGTGATTAGAATCACCTCACTGGTTTCAGTATGTCCAAATAGGCAATATAGTTCTAGAGGAATTACAGAAATAAGGTGGAATACTTAGAGACTTGACTGAATTTGAAAAACACATAATACAAAATTCAGAATGTTTGTTGGGGCTTATTTACAAGAGCTGGTGAAATATGAAATAGAAATTAGACAAGTTAAAGTTTGTGTTATTAAATATGTGCATTTAAATAGAACAATTTACATGCAACAGTGGGGATATCAATATAAGATAAATGATAAATTCATCATTATCATTACACTTAGAGAAAACTGATATAGGATGTTTTATTAATGGTATATTGCTTTAGTATTGATTGCTAAAATAGATAATTCATTTTCTAAAAGTTGTTGGAAATGCCATAATCAAGTTGAAACATTTCATATTTGGTGACGATGTTGTAAAGCCCAACAATTCTTTAGATGATTTATTATAGAACGAAACAAATTCTAAAAGTTGATTTCCCTTTCTGATCAGCCATTTTTATGTTAAACATTACCAAAAATTATATTCCCACAAAGTATAGTGAGTTGGCTTTGCATATGGTAGAGCTTCTAGGACACTCTATGATTTTAATTAGAAATTAATTCCCTCCAGAGAAAAAAATGACAAATTAAGTTGTAGGAGTATGCATCTTCATGAATTATAATTCTACATAAAGGCTTTTACTGCATCCATTGTTTGGGTTTCTCTTAACATAATGCTATCATATCTAAGCTTTTACTTGGTTTGCTAAATAAAGATAAAATTCTTAGATCAGGCAGATGTCTTGTAATTTTTCATTTTGACTTACAATTAGCATTAATTGACTATTGTAGTTAATTATTGCATATTGACTTCATATTATGAAAATGTTGTTAAAGATTTCAATTGATACAAGTTACTGTAATATGCAGCACTAATCTAATGGTGCTTTGAAATTTTTATTCAGTACTCTTTTCTATTTTTTTTCTCATTTTCCTTTCCATTTTTTCTTCTTTATTATGTTTTTTAAATATCTAATAAAATTTTTAAAAGATTTTTTAAAAATTGACCACTACCCTATTTTTCATGATTTAGGGAAGTGTTATGACTAAATGTCTTAAATCACAAACGCCCCAAATGTTGGTTCCTCTCATTCCAGTGATTTCATGACATCAGCAGCCACACTGTATGTGACAATTCCTCCCAAACTGTTTCCCAAATTTCTTTCTTAATTAGACATCCCACTAGAGGTCCATAGGAGGATAGGACATGCTTTATATTTTACAAGATCATGCTTTCTATTTTATAAGATCAGGGCACATTATTCTCAAAACTGGCTGGCAGTAGCTGTTTCAGGTTCTGGATGGAATCTTTCCAGTAGTATCTGAGAATTCCAAGAGTTGAACCTCTGGCATTTTGGTTTCCCAGTGTTACTTTCTTTTAAAAGTAGTTGGAGGTCTTTCAAAATGGAATTGGAGCTATTGGAAAAAAATAAGATCTTTGTTACAAATGTTGAACACGTACAGTTTTCCTCAGAAGAGGGATTCTCAATCTTTTGAATGAATGTTTTAGAAATCAGGTAGGTGCAGTATTTGTTTGACAAAAGGCTCTACTTATTGATCATTTGCTGTTCTCTCAGGTGTGTTGATGAAGATGAAATTGAATCTCTGCAAAGTAGTTGATGGCTGTCGCCTTGGGACAATGACTAATCTTGGCAAGAAAGGGGTTCAGTCGATGGAAATTCCAGGATGTCTGCTCTATACCAAAATGGGATCAGCACCACACCTGACATATGATACTCTACAGAATATTCAAGATATTCCTGTGGTTGCCCAGATTCCCCTTACAACACTGTGAGTGTAATTTCAGCCTTTGTAGGTAAAATAGGTGAGGCAAATGCAGACTTTGATCTGATTTCTTTTTAGATATACAGTATGTATGTTTTATATATTTTTTAATTTTTGCCGTTCTGATAGAATTATATTCAAATAGAGCTGTCCTATTTGTGCAAATGTAGACCCCTTTAACTTCAACAGGACTCTCTCTCAAGTCTTCTTTTTCCAGTTGGCTATAGGATTGTAGCCTGAGATACAAATGGTACAATGGTTTTATGTGCTAGTGTTAAACTGGATAATCATTTAGTTTACTGGTCACATATATCAACACTAGTCACTTAAGAGGAAGCAGTTTGTGCACTTTGAGAAGTACTTTGCATTGATTATCCTCAACTATATTAGAGCCAAGATATTTGTTGAGATTACAGGGGGTTCTCTTGGTGGTTAGAGTTGCTCTGGAGTCAATGGCTAAACAGTCATCACCTAAGCACTTCAGTGAATTCTTAAGCTGAGATGTCTTTCAAACTGCATTATTTACATATTGTCTAAAATTGCCTGTAGTTGCATGAATTGTAGTTGCCTATTTAATATGTTTTTCTGTTTGGATGCAGAGCAGATCTTCAGGAGGTCTTGCAGGAATATAAAGAAGGAATTGGAAAATTCATAGGTAAAGCTGTAGGGGTGGGTTTCACAGTTAATGGAACATGTTAATGTGTGTTCCTCCATTATATGGAGGCTTACAGCTCCTACCATGAATGTTTCTGTTACAAAGTTGCTCCATGCACATCTGGAAGTGATGTTCAGCACTGCAGATCCAGTTTTCTGTTGTTCATATGCACATGGGATAAAGTAAATAATCAGATTGTGAAAATATAGCTGCTATTGTGCAATTTACTTTAAATAAATCCCTGTACAAAAGACTCATAATTATGACTGATTATGAAATCAGAGATATAATACAGATAAAGACTACATTACAGTCATAGGTCAGAACAAACATAGTACAGGTAATCTTCTCTTAACAGCCAACGGTAGTTGGGACTGGAATTTCTATTGCTAAATGACGTCGTAAAGAGCGACGTGTCCTTAGCGATGTCAGTTCCAGCAGTTCTGGTTGTTGTTGTTAAGCAAATCCCATGCTGTCATTAACCATGACATCACTGCTAGCTTCCCCATTGACTTTGTCGGAAGCCGGCAGTGAAGGTTGCAAATGGCAATCACATGACTGTAGAATGCCATGACCAGTGATCCAGTCACCAAGCACCCAGATTGTAATCATCTGACTGCCGGGATGCTGCAATGGCCACAACTATGAGGATCAGTCATAAGTACCACTCGTTCAGTGCTGTCGTAACTTCAGATGGTTGCTGAATGAGTGGTTGTTAAATGAGGACTGCCTGTAGTACCATCAGAAAGCTTTAGAATCCAGCAATATGCATTATATTTCAGTATTAATAACCAATGACATACTGATCTATTTATTATTGGAGGTTGCATAAAATCTGATGACACTGCTGTGGCATTTACACATTTTATGATATTCTTAGAAGACTTATCTGCAAGCAGGAATTAATTGTCCCCCTAATTCTCCAGCCCACATGCAACAGCAAGTCTCCTGCGTTCTAACTGACGGCAAGAGAATCAGTAAGAAATTCTGATGTTCTCTTGCAACGTTGCTAGTTGACATTCCAAGAAAAAGTACCTTTTTTGTCTAAGTGAAATCAAGAAATGTGGCATTCTCATTTGAGAGCCTAGGGAGCTGAGTCCCTGGAATTAGAATTAATTCTCTTTATGGGCAACCCCCATAAGGCCTACTTTTGGCAACCTTCCTGTAATAATTTATGATCAGTTATGATCCAGGAGTTATGCTTTGGGATTTAAATTAGGATAAGGTGGGTAAAGGCGTGATCCATTTGAAATTGCAGGGTAGAGATGGCATTGGTGATTGACTTTTGCTTCTTGTGAAGGATGTTGATTAGATGGCTTAGAAGTTACTTGGAACAAGTATAATCTTTGGCTGTAGTCTGTAGAGTATGTAGACTCTAGAGGCGTTTTCACTTTCATTGTTAAATTTTAAATCCTTAAATTCTGTATCACTTATATCCTACATCAATCTAGCCATTCTGTACATCTGATGAAGTGAGCTTCAGCTCCTGAAAGCTTATGCTTTTTGTTTTGTTTTTAATGTTACTTGGAAAAGTTGTTACCAGATTCCTTCTGAATTTTTGTTACCATAAACTAACACAGTTCCTTTTGTACATTGTCCTGAAAGGTAAATAGGGATGATCAATGGAATTTATAGATTCTGGAGACTTGATTTTTAACAGTTTATTCAAAAAGAATAAGTGATACAATGCAGTATTGTTATAATTGATATAGTAGAAAAAAGTTTTATAGGCTCTATATTAAAGATAACATTTTATTTTGTACTCAGGTATGCCAGAATCTATATTATATTGTTCCCTTCAAGACCCTGCTGTTTGCTCTCCTCATGGCTACAACAGCATGAAGGTATAGTGAACTTGAGAGTTTGGTGACTTTTCAGTCTTCAGCTATTCACTCCCCTCCCAATTATTTTTAAGGAACAGTAGTAGTAGTGGCAGTAGCAGAGAAATGACTGTATAATTTTGTTCTTTTATTTTTTGTGAGAATCAGAATTATAATAGCAAGGGAGTTATGACTAAAAATCAGGGGACAGAAAAAAATATTCACCCCTTTAGAATCACATAGGCTTTGAAGTCAGTACTCTCACATTGCTGGGTGAGGCAGGAGAGCCAGCAGCAGCTCCCCAGGTGAAGGTGAAGGCCGGTTTTGCAGGAGCACTTCCAACACAAGCTGCAGAGTGCACACTGTGCCTCTGGGAAGCCCACATTCCTCCAGTTCTGCCACCACCCCAAACAGCGCCTCCCACAGAACCTCCACCATTGCCCAGAGAGCCACCACTGGCTCTCCTGCCTCACCCAGTGATGGAGAGTGCCACACTTGCCATCCCGATGCCTCCTCCCTGACCAGACCTGGCAAGCTTCTTTCAGCAGATGAGGCTTTGCCAACCTGCCACACTCACTGCATGCATCCCAGGGCTGCATCCTCACCCAGCACCTGGATCCCAGGCCAACAGCAGGAGGGAGAAGATGGTGATCAGTTGGGGACAGCAGCAGGCAGCAGGAGTAGGTGGCGGAGTGCAGGGCACCGAAAAGGGCAAAGATGGGGGGAAGATAGGCAGGTAAAGGGAGTTGAAGTGCCCCTGTGGTTGTAAGTGCAGTGGGCTGCCAAGTGCCTGAATTTTGATCACGTGACCGTGGGGGCACTGCAACGGTCATAACTTCAGGGATTGGTTGTAAGTCCCTTTGTTCAGCGCTGCCATAACTTTGAATGGTCACTGAACAAATGGTTGTAAGTCTAGGATTACTTGTAATTGTTGAGATTTTTGAGATGGGAGAAGAGAAAACAGTAGGTAGTTTTGATTTTGCATTGAAAGAGGCAAAATCCTAGGCATAGAATACAAAAGGAAGATATGACAGGTAGGCCTTAGCAAAGGAGAGATACGGAAGATTCGTGCATAGTCAGATGGAAGACAAGTAGAATAGAATGAATTTATAGTGGATAAAATCATCCAATTTTCTCTTTCCTTGTTTCTGACAGACTGTATCTATATGGAACAATAGAGGACGGAAAGAATTCACAGCTTCAAAGTTCATGGACATCCAAAAGGTTATTCAGCCAGACTGGTTCCAGTGTCTGTCAGATGGAGACACTATTTCAGGAGACATCTCCAAAAAGAAAGCCAAGAAATCTGTAGATCGATCGCTGTGCTTTTTGGATGAATGCTTACAGCTTCAAGGAAATTCTCCAGTAAGTGTTAAATCTTTTTGAGGTATACTCATAGCAGTTACTTGCTAATTTTTAGACATTTTGGTAAACATACTGTAGGTTGCAGAATTCCTGGAATGTGTCTGACAACTTCTATATTTCTGAAATCTATAGAAAAGAATACACTGTCTTTTTTATCTGTCTCTCTGTGTTCTTTTCTGTTGTATAGGACTAAATATAATGATTCATCCCCTTTGTATTATTAATTTAATTTTATATCAATAAACCAGATTATTTTAAGGCTGTGTTGCTGTGCACTGCTTCCACAAACTTCTTTGCAAAAAAAACCCCTAACTGGAGCCATTTCAGTTTCTCACATAGAGACTTTATTTTTGTGTCATAATCTCTGTATATCATTCTATTTAAAAAATAAAAAGATATAAAATTTATATCTTGCCTTTACAAAGCCCAAGGAACCTTACAATAAATATTAAAAATAATCATATGGAATAAATTTCATATGGAGTCTCCATCTTTGTGTTGGCAGAAAGGCTGATAATAATGAAAAAGTAACTTTAATATATGCATTGAGAAACTAGTACAGTGGAACCTCGGTTTACGAACTTAATTCGTTCCGTGACTCTGGTCGCACCCCGAATTGGTCGCAACCCGAAGGAAATTTCCCCATAAGGTTCAATGTAATTACCGTTAATTACCCCGAGGCGGAGTTCGCAAACCGAGGTAAATTTTTGCGGCTGGAGCTGGTCGTAACCCGAAAAGTTCGTTAACAGAGGCGTTCGTAACCTGAGGTACCACTGTACATGCGCTGTCCTTCCAAAACAAATAAAAATTACTCTAGTGTTGGTCATTTGGCCTTTTAAAAGGAAAAAAATAGTTTAATCTTCAGGTAGGAAAAATACTGCTCAGAAGTCTTTATTCACTGTACCTTTTATAAGGAAGTGGCAGTTTAGACCTGAGTAGGAGAAGCACACTTCTCTGACAGAAGACAATTTCAACCTGCTGGGAAGAATAGTAGTAAAAAAATCATAGTCTTAACAAGAGCCATCAACAGTAGGACTAAGAATCATATGTGTATTTAAAATATTGTCTAAGATCATAATGTTAATTTTGGTTAGATATGGGGGTGAAGAGGAAGAAAAATAAATGCCAACTTATTTTAAGTCTTATGTCCTTTGCTCCCCCTGTACTTATATTATTGTTTGATATCACTGGTGCAACAATCTGCAGGAAAGCTAACTTAGCCTACTTTCCGTTCAGACTCGATCCAACGTCTGTTGAACCAAAGGATGTATTTATATTACATTTACAACTTTCTTCCGTACCAGGAATTGCAACAAAGTTTGATGATTGGAGCTATTGAAGGTGGAGATGTATTGGAGGAAAGACTAAGATCAGCAAGGGAGACTGCCAAGAGACCAGTGGCTGGATTCCTGTTGGATGGCTTTCAGGGAAATACCATGACTAAGGAGACTAAATTGGAGCTCTTATCCTCAGTTACAGCTGTGCTGCCAGAACATAAACCAAGGTCAAAGCTAAATGGAATTTTTATCTAAGCATACATAATATAGCACTTGGATGGCTTTCTGAAAACACACAAACACAGAGCACTTTTTAAATGTATGATGAGATACTGTGTTATGTGCTGTTAGAAAATTTGATTTTGGTAACTTAAGACTTGGGAAATTCACAGGTGATGTGTGCTGCATGAGCTGCTCCCACCCTTTTGTTTTACGCTCCAGAGCACCCAAGATTATCCTGGGAAGTAATAAAATGGCCATTTTTGGAAGCATGTGTTGTTTTGGGGATATTTTAAAGCTCATGTTGTGTCATTCACTCAATTACATTGAAAATTGGGAAAAAGAGGCTGGAATTTGGGATCCCATTATTTGTGATTATTAAGTTTGAAGTTATTACAGTGTCATTAATACGGATGCATCTATTTATATATTCTGTTTGTTAATTCATTTAGCACCATAAAATTGTTATTTTTTAAATTACCAATGTCAAAAGATACTAGTATTTTTAAACTATTGTAGTACTACTTCAAATTGACAATGTAGCCTCAATCAAAAATACATTCTGACAATTGCAGATCCTTAATTTATGAAGCCATCTGCAAATTGCACCAGTCTTTAGTAAAGAATGTTGCCAACTGAAGCTCTGAATATTTATTGATTTGATTTGATTTGATTTAGGTACCACCTCACTCCAAAATGACTCTGGGCAGTCCATAGTATCAAACAAACAACAAGATAAAAATACATGCAATATAAATAAACAAGTTAGCATCTGATCAATCAATACATTATATATACAAAGACTCATCCAACAAGGGGACCCATCCACGCTACCCCAAGGCCCGGGAGAATAGCCAGGGAACAGACTGGGAAAACAACATGTTTTCCAGCTTTTAAAATGTGTGTATGTGTGTGTGTGTGTGTTTGTACATGGAAAGAGAACAGGAATTGAGTTCAACCTTTCAGAACGAGAACATTATCAGACCAAAGAGTTGTGTAGTTCAGCTTCTAATACTATTGTTCAGTGCTCCTTAAAGAGAAATCAGTTCTCTTTTATTTCCCCAGTCTTTCCAAAATAAGTTATATTGAATTATAAACACAGTTTGCCTTCCTCCTGATAAAGTGGTCACCTCTGCATTGGCTATCATCTTTGTTCTCTCAGGTCTAGATAAAGATATGAACTATACAAATAATGGAGGACAACAATATGGCTATCAAATTTTGCAGGCATCATCCTATTTTTAATAAGTATCTTAGATAGCTATTAGAAAAGTTGCAGTTAAGGAACTATAGATGTTAATTATTTGTGTAACTGTTTTGTTAACAGAATAAAATTATCCTAGCCAGGAAGCTTAAAAACTAAGATAGTTTATATAGTTGTCAGCATACTAGTCCTGTGGAGAGAGAAATTGCTATTTCTTCACCTCTCCAGTCTTTGTCAGAACTAGTAGCTGAATTTAGAGTCTGGCATTCCTGTCTCTAATAATAGTGCAAGGTGCTTGGTAAATCCAGCTACATTTTCAAGTCCCAATGGGACATTTTTGTGCATGCTGTTGGGAAAACATTGTTTGTGTTTGAAAGAATTATTCTGGGCACAACGAGCTCATGGTGATGTAGAAAATATGAAAGTGAAATGTGCAACATACCAGTGCTATGATTTATCCTTTTTGCTTTGGTTTGGTTTTGCATGACAAGAGAATTCTAAAAAAGAAGTAGGTGTGTGTGTGTGTGTGTGTGTATTCATTCATTCTATTATATTTTTTTGCCTTCAAGTCAGACTTGACTTGGGGTGACTGTATGGACAGGTTTAGACAATATTTTCAGAAGTGGTTTGCCTTTGGCTTCTTTCTAGGGCTAAGATAGTATGACTGGCCCAAATCCCTTAGTTAGTTTCCATGCCAAAGCAAGCGTAAAACTTAGGGTTCCTTGCTTCTAGTCCAGCACCTTAACCACTAGATCAAACAGACTCTCAGGTATATTTTTAGGTATTCTCAGTTTTGAAAAGCTCTGTATGTTATAACAGCATTTATGTCATCACATACAGTTCTGTAATAGCGTAATAATGCCAGGGACCCAGTGCAGCTTTCCATCCTTCCAGAAGGGCACCAAGGCCTTCTGGTAGTGCAGTAATGTCATCAAAATCCCCTCTGAAAAAATGGTCCCAAGCAGTTGAATTTTATCTACCTTTATTTTGGAAAAATAACAGCACCACCAAAAATCTGAAGATACTGGAGTCTGCAACTGGCATGTTCAGGGCTACATCACACACATAAGTAGGATGTATACTTCAGAGTTTCATGCTGAGGCTATAACAATGTTCATTCAATTTTCTTTCACTTTAAAGGGAACATAATCATGAATCAGCAACAGGCATAAACTAGCATGTTTGATAAATAAAGAAATTACAAGCACTGTCTCTTGGTTGTCGCAGTTGTCATTACCCATTCAAGTGTGCCACTAAATAAATAGCTGTTGTCATTGGTCAAATGAAATGTCCATCTGATGGTTGGGATGCAAGGCAATTTCATATCTACTGTGAAATGTTGAATGACTTAGAAAGTCGTCCTTATGTTGTATCTTCCCTCTTACATTGTAGAGAAAGTTTGGATTAAATTTAGTGGATTCAACTACTATTTCAGATGCAGTGTTCAAGATATGGTTGGTAACTTAAAGATCTTTATAGCAGTTATATTCCAACTAAGTGCCCTTCAGATGACTTGTACTTCTGTTCCCCAAATTTCCATCCAGTCTTCTTGTCTTTAGCCATATTAAGGATTTTGGAAGAAGTACAACACTTCTGGAGGCCTCCCACTTTGGGAGAATGGTCTACACAATATGCTTGGTTCAAAGAGTAAATATTCACATATGTTACCTCTTAAGGTAGGGTAGGAAGTCAGGCTTTGAGGCTTTTCTCATCTACTTCTGAATCTTGGGGCAAAGCAGTTTTGGAATTCTGATAAATTGGTGGATGTGAATCCTAAGGCATTTAGGGAAGGACATAAAGCCTTCTACTTCTGTCAGGCTTTATGGGACATGCTTCATCTATTACTCAGAAAGTTTGTTGGTTGTTTGGGACTAGTTATAAATATCTACATAACTTCATTATTAGACATAATTATTGTAAGTATAACTCAGAACTGTAAGGTAAAATTGGAGAGCAGTATAGAAATAGAATGGGAAATAAATAGATTGCAATAAACTGTACCAATTACTACTTTAAAGTGGCTTGTTTCTATCTATTGCAGACTGATCCATGGTATTGGTGAGCCAGATGAAGTCCTAGAGTGCATTAAGAGAGGAATAGATATTTTTGAGAGTTGTTTTCCTTATCAGGTGACAGAACGATGTTGTGCTTTGTCCTTCAGCTATGATTATCAACTGAATCCTGAATCAGCAGGTATTTGTCTTAATAATCTTATGTGTGGGTGGATATTTGAATAAAATATTGATCATGTGGGTTTTATGCTTCTCAGATTGCAATCTGTACACCTTCTGTATAACATCCTTCTGAGTTGCCATGCACAAGATTATGTTGTTAATCATCTTCTCCTTTCTGTTCTGTTGTACTGTAAACAAAACCTTACTTGATATACTAGAAGTGCTGCTTCCAATTGAGGCTTAAGCTTACAGTTAAGACCACTATTATTTACAGTGAAACCTCAATTTAGTAGATCTCAACAGATTTTGCATTCAGTGAACTAAAGTTCTGCAACAGTTTACACAATTACTGTAATATTTTCATCACATAAATGATGTAAATGGATGCATGTGACCTAATTTGCATCATTTGGGTAATAGCATTATGCAGATGACGTAAATCACCCCAGAGCCTTCATGTCTGACAGATATTTATAAATAATGGACAACCGTTCCTCCGAGTTAGTTTGTTAAAACAAGGTTTTGCTGATGACTAGCATTTTAAATCAGAAAGTTAAAATAATTCCTCACTTCAACCCCACATGGCTGAAGAAACCAAAACACAGTTTAAGAACTTTTTCTTTTTGGCTTTGCCTTACTGATACTTTTTCTAAAAAACTGCACACATTAATGAGAATCACATATGCACAGTTTGTTTCCTTGTCCTTTGGATTTCAAACTGCAAATATATCGATTGATAAAGGAAATTTAAGGACTGTACTTTTTAAAATGCAAATATTTTCCAAAACAGTGAAGCTACTGTCATTCCCAAATAGAGTAAGTGTAAGAATAAAAAAAGCAGTGGAGGGTATTCTTAATGGCTGTGGATTTTCATGCCTTGACAACTCAGAACTGACAAGTATATCTTTTATCACCTTTTCGGGAAGCTTCTCACAATTTGGCAAGTCATGCAGATTCTACAGTAAAGTGCAAAGAGTAACTAATCTATTATTTTGCCCACCATTTATAAGACAAGCTGTCAAGTCTCTGTGCATCTTATTAAAGTATACACAAACTCATAATCTAGTTTTAGAATTTTAAAATGATGAAGAGGATTTCCATGTATTTTATATCTTTCCTCCCAACGATTATATGAAAGTTCAATCCTGCTAGGAATATACGGCTTTTTTCCTCTTTAAGATTATCACTGCCTTGATGGCTTAACCTCAATTTTCTGATTTGAAACATAAGAGCAAACTGATAGATTGCGAACTCTGTTTTAATAAAAAAAATAAGTACAACTGCAAATTGCATTTAATAAAATTTGGTTAGAATGTTGTATTGCTTATTTTGAGAGGGTGTAGGGTTACAGAAGAATGAGAAGTGCAGCCATTTAAATTTCAAGCTCTCATCCTATTAGTTTGCCTCACTTTCACCTGTTTTATTGTCTTGTGAGTATCAAGATTTGATTCCAGCATTTTGTGATATTATTTAAACATTTTAAATCCACTGTGGCACTGAATAGTGCCATGTTCTTTAAGTATGAACTTTTCCTTTATTGCAGTTGTAAAAGAAAATGGACAAACGGAGGTGAGGAAAGATGATGAAAAAACAAAAGATGAAACATGCAGTGAAGCACAAGAAATGACTTCATTTGAAATACATCTGAAAGAAAAGAAGTATGTTGGCTCGTGTTGATTTAAAATGTCAGCTTTTCCTATGGGTTGGTCTCAAGTAATTTTATAGTGCTGTTTGCATTAATTTGGGAATAAGTTCCCCTGAACACAGTGGGCCTAATTTCATAAACAGGTGGTTGCCCAATATTCCCCATGCCATCTTGAGAGCTTAGTAATTAATCAGTAATATGGTTTCTTACCAATTTCAGGTGGGAAACATTCAAAATTTGAAGCTTAAGCCCTAAAATAGGCTTAACATTTAGAGAGGCAAATTCCCAATCTTTCTCCAAGAAAATCTTAGCCCTGCAAGTTTTGCATGACCTCAGAGACATTACATGCAAACCCTAATTATCAAAAGGGTGCTGATTCCTTTTGTATTTTCTTATCTGATAACAAGTCCCATTGAATTTAAAGGAATTATTAAGTTGTTTTGCATATGAATTTATTGTGTCTTGAGTCAAGCCATGGCTGACCAATAATTCTGCAGGATGACCAATAGTTATTAATTCTTAGTTGCTATTGAATAAGTATCCTCTCTTCTATTTGCTACTAAATACTTTTGATGCTTTTAGACCAGTATGTACAGTATGTCTGAGCCGAGGAAAAATTGGATCACAGCCATTTTTAAAAAATAGCATTTTTTAGTGGCTTGGGTTTTGATGCTGTGTTTTGGACACTCTAGGGGGATGAACTTATAATTTGGGACACTCACAAATCCTTAACCATCCTATTATATATAATTTTATAAGGTCAACATATCTACAGTAGGTATTTCATCATGATGTTTCTGAACTACCTTCTTAACAATCTGTATGGATCTCTTGTAATGTCAGTAATATAATGAAGCTTTCTCAGAGTGTTTTTCCTCCATGAGAGTGACATTATTTAGAAGACAACAGGGTCATGCTTGCTGATTTTGCCTTGTTTGTCCTCCAGTACCCTGGTCCTGCTCTAGCCATGTATTGAAAAAAGATCTAAAAATACCCCAACATGCCAAACAAGTATAGGGCAGTTCCAGGAACAGCCAGTAAACATTCCATTTCATACTTTTTCCATGCAGGTGGGACCAGTGGGGAATGCAAGGGCATAATATAGTGTGGCTCATGCCTAGAGCTCCATTATCAAAAATAAGTCTGACTAAAACTAGTGAAGTACAGAGAGCAGCAATAATTGATATAGAAAAGAACATACCTACTATTGTAATACTAATTAAAACTTGCTAAAATTTTTCAATAAGAAATGATGGATTGGACAACACATGTTTTTAAGTTCCATAACATTTCATTTGTGGTTGTTTTATCTGATAAGTCCTTTGTCAATTGATCTAATAACAGTTCATTTCACCCACACTATTACAGCAAAATATGTCAGTGCTTCTCTAGATTGTAAGCTCCTTAAACCTGGGACCTATTCTGACATTTTTTGTGAAGTACCATGTATATGGATAATAGTCTATAATGATGATAACATCATTAAGTGTGCATGCTGTGTTCAGCAATTAGATATACAGTTAGTTTTTAGAGTTGCCTCACTGTGCCCAAAGTGTGGGCTTAGCTGAGTAGATGATTTACTTCTTTCTTATCTGTAAATATGCTTTTCTCTTTTAGGTACCAGGATGATTTTAATCCTTTAGTAAATGGATGCTCATGCTATTGCTGCCAAAACCACAGTCGTGCCTATATCCATCACCTCCTCATGACCAAGGAGCTGCTGGCTTATGTGCTCCTTATGACGCATAACTTTCAGCATTACTTTAACTTCTTTTCTTCTGTCCGAAATGCTTTGAAAGAAGATAAGTTGGATCAGTTGAGGAAGATTATCAGCAGGCAGGCCCTCTGAGCTCAGATGTGTAAAAAGCAGCTTCCCCAACCTGGTTTACCCTTCTGGATCAAGTTTATGGAACAGGGCTGTTATACAATAGTAGCGGGATAGAAGCCCATGATAGAAGAAGATCCATGTTTTGCCTGCCATCTCATATCTGAGTATAACTTTTTTAGTTCCTGTAAATTTAGGAAAAATTGAGAGTTTTTCAGAGTCATTAATCTTTGAAAAATATAAAAATAAGGTTATTGTTTTAGAAATATTCACATAGTTTTCTGAATTGTATTAATGATATTAACAATTTATGGACACTTGAACTGCAGTGAGAAGAAAAGAACATCAACTAACTTAAGAATTAGAGAGAATGGGGAAAAACTGCAGCTTTTGTACAGCTATTGTATATTAATCTATTTTGGTTTTTTAAAAAATTATCAGAAAAAAAGTGATGTAGCTAGAAATCATAGGAAAAAAGAATACTTGCTGTTATGAGTTGCACCTCACTTGGACTCTTCTGATGGTGGGAACATTTTCCAAATGAATGCATTCCTTAAAGTTCTCTGCGTTCTTGTTAGCCAGAGGGCTTTTTTTCTTATATTGTAAGTTGCCTATTAGAGAACCCGATTTTAATAACATCAAAGGATAGCTGTTTATCTCAAGGGTGGATTCTTTGAACAATATCCTTTTATGGTGATTTTTTTTGGGGGGGGGTAAGGCTTTGATAGTAAAAGCAAATACAGGAGAGAATATGTTCCAGTCCTATTTAGTTTATTTGGCACAATTTTCTTTTTTACTGGATTTTTTTACTACTATATTTGAATGTTAAAGATTTTTATATTATTATATTTATTGTACTGCATGAGGAAATTTAATAAGACTTTTATATTTTTGCATTACTGGGAAACAGTAGGAAGGAGGGAGGGAGGGGAAGAGAGAGAGAGAACTCATAAAATAGGGAAATATTGTGAGAGAGGGGAGACCAGACAAGATGATCATCCAAAAAGCCAGTTTGAAGACTGGAGAGACAGACTGGCCTGACCTCTCTCATAAGAGCCAACTCTCAGGTTTAAGAAAGAGCTGGAGTTGTTTAAGCATGACTAAAAACAATTCAGTAATTATCAGAGGTCAGTAGGAATTTGTCAAGAACAAAGACTAATCTTATGTTTTGATTAAGTTCCTTGATAGATTGTGACAATGCTCTGGACAATAGATGCTCACCTCCTTTGTAATAGCTCGCCTCACAAGGTAAGGCTGGGTCCTGTTCTCCTGGCCCTCCAGAAGCTCATAAGAACTTAGCTGTTCTGCAAGGCCTTTAGGAACTGACTGCTGTAGAGCTCCTAGTGCCAGGAAAATTATATTAAATTATTTTTTACCATAATTTAATATTTTATTTCTGTTCTTGTAGGTTACTGTTGTTATTGTATTGACTGCAGTTGTTGCTTTTGTACACTACTTGGCCTTGACAGAAGTAGTTTATAAAATTCATAAAAGAAAAGCTTTTAACAAAGGAGGCCATGATATGTTGATTAGCAAGCTATTTAAGTGTGGGATGCATATATTAACAAGCCGGTGAATGGAAAACCTTAAGCAATGTAGTGTTACAACATGCTGTAATGCAAAGGAATTCTCACCCAGTTTGCTTAAAAAACTTGCTCATCTCCAAATTCTGCCCTTCTCTTGGGCTTAATTCCAAACAACTGCCGTAGATGGGGTGCCAAATTTTTACTTACTATATGCTGTGAAACAGAGAGAGACTTCAGTCCTATATCAAACAATAAGCTGCACATACTGAATCCAAAGGATTTATTACTAAGCAGGTTTATACATGTTTTTGCTCTTAGCCACATAAATAAAAGAAGGAAGTACATGGTGGATTTTCTAAAAGCATAGCTGAGCTATTGAGGCTGTGGGTTTTGCATGACTTCCAGTCAGAGTTGTCCTCGTTTGAAAATAAGCAGAAGTTTTCAGGGGGCACAAGATTTCCTTGTTACTTTACTATTCAAGTTAGATATACTTAAGATGTGACCTTACTTATTCACCAGGATCTCAAGATGTATACGGTTATTTAACAAAGCCATTGTCTCATGGAGTGAGTGGGGAAGAAGGGAAGGCACAGGGGTTCTTGACGGAAATATCTTTTTTTAAAAAAAAATTAGAAATACCCTCAGGGGTGGAAAGTGTTCCTCTACCTGAAACTGGGAAAGTTGCTACTAGTTAAAAAATAGCACTGAGCCAGATAGATTAGTAGTCTGGTTCCATATAAGGTAACTTTGTAGTTCTCTTTATATATGTCTACTTTGAGGGGAGAATCTTTCAGTGCCTGTACAGATATATGGTAGATTGGAGTGCTGCTTTTCTCCCTCTTGATTGCCAGTACAAGATTTTACAAAACTAAGTTTGCACTGCTACTAAGCAGAGTTTAGATGTTAGAAGTATTAATGTATAGGAACACTATTATTCCAGCAATATGTTTGTGGCTGAAAAGCTATAATACTGCACTATGCAACCTAATTAATCATTTCTAATTAATAGAATGTGTCTATTAGTTATTTTTTTAAAAAATCAGCCTAGAAACTCTTGAAAGTAAAGCTGCATTTGTTTAATTATTAAACAAGTTGCAGTATTTCAAATGAAATTTTCTGAAGATATCATCAGAACAGTGTCTTGTAAATAGTTTCTTTCTTGTCTGGACTTTATTGTTCTGTGAAGGATTGGGATTGTTTAAAATGTGCTTGTTGCATATAGCACTGAAGTTCTCCTCTTAATTGCTCCATTTCAGTCTTAATATTACTTTTTATATCAAGCTTTGGTATAAAATCTAATGGTGCTATATTTAACATTTCAGACTGCTAGATACTAGATGAGTAGAGGTCCTGCAGGTCCAGGTTTAACCTTGTCTACCTTGGAAAAACCCAACCAGGTTGCAGCAGACTTTTTGCATCTCTGTACAACTGTGGCACTTGGATTGCCATTCTTTGAACTGGACCTGTCTCCATCCTTTTAATTAAGAAGCTATGTTTATCTCCATGCTGAGAATATTTTCACTAGCTGATGTCAGACTAGAATGGCTAAAGCTACACAGCTTTAAATGTGTTCTGAAAGTTGCTGGCTTGTGAGTGTTTGTGAAAATGTATATTTGGATTTCACAAAATCTGAGGCTCTGTATGTCTTTCCCAAAGTCATCATGCTTAGCCAAAACTTTTCTAGCCATCTTCTAATGCAGTGGTTCTTAAACTATTTGACCCAATTACCCCTTTTCCCAGTCTCAAATTATGTCATTACCCCCACAAAAAGACTCTGTTGTTTTACACAAGCATCTCAACAGCAGCGGTCCCAAACTGGATCCTTGACTCACAAACAATTAAAATTGCTCCATTACCCCCAGGAAATGCCCAAAATACCCCTTTCAAATTTCAGGATACTTTTTAAGTATTTAAATTACTTTTCCCTTTGCCTAGTTCATTTTATGGATTTTTCTACTACCTTGTCAGACAAGGGCTGTAGAAATTAATGTTCAAAAAATTACCATCACCCCCTTTTATAAGTGGTACGCACTATAGACAAAAATTATTGCAAAAACCTTTCCAGTGTTAGCTTAAGAATTGCATCATTGCACTTTTTTACACATCCTACTGAAATTATGTGGTCTTTCAGATGACAGCGTGACCTTTCAGTTCAGTGACTCATCCTTACTGATCACATAACATTGCTGAGGGATTAAATTGGACTTTTATGCTATGAGCATTTTTTAAAAAAACAAATGTACATCACAGTGTGATCGTTCTCCAAATGCGCATATACCTTCTATCTTAAAACAGAGGCTAATCCTTAATTCAAGACTACTTTCTCCAAGAATCCTGTGTTTAATCTCCTCAGCTCTGACTGCTAAGTAACACTTCAATTTAAACAAACTGACATCAAGTGTGCCCCCCCCATCCCATGGGTACTATATTTGTCTTATTCATTTATTCATTTATTTATTTATATGTATATTTCAAATTTAGATACCGCCCATCTCACAAAAAGTGACTTACCGGAAGAGTGTGATTTTTTTGGGGGGGGGGCCTTCAAGTCAGTGTTGAGTTCAGGCAATGGCCTGAACAAGTCCTTGCAGTTTTCTTGGCAAGATTTTTGGAATGTTAATTATACCTATTGCATATGCAAGCTTGTTTGCTTGCAAGAGAAGGTAGAAGGATTAGAGACCAGCCCTTCATTAACATTCCACAGGGGTGCTGAAGCACGTACACATAGCATACATATTGTTCTTCATTCTGGCTAGCTGAGTGAGACTTCCAGAAAAGTCAGGAGTAAAGAAAGCAGGACTTCAAGGATGAACAGGATGCACCAGTAAGCGTAGTGAGTTATTGGAGGTCTGTTTATAAAAAAACAGTGGATGAACCAAAAGAAGCCCATTGGAGCTAACCAGTCAGTTTGAAACTGTAAATATGGATAATGAGCTCCAACAATCCAAGACAGTTCTATTATCTCAACTATCTAGAACAATGGAAAGGACTCTCAACTCCATAGGTATCAACAAAATCAAAGCTCTCTAGTGCAAGGTAAAAGAAGGTGATGATGGGACACTCGATATTAAGAAGAACTGAAGCAACTTTTTGTGGAGCAGACATGCTATTGTGTGCAGCAGCAACAGGCATAGTCACAATTAAAGGTGGGCTAAGCCATTCAGTTGTAGGCATGTGATTCCTAATTTAATACACATGTTCCTGTCCACTAGGCTTTGAAACAGCCTTTGTTGATAGGTCCAAATTCAATTGTGCAATCTGTCAACACCACTGGTAAATTATTACTGTAACTTCCATGTTTCATTCTCATTCAAATTACTACTTACAATTCTCCCACTTTAAAAAAATCATATCTCAATATATTATTAATCTCAGGATAACTATTTGGATGCACTTTTTTGCCATAATATATTTGTAAAGAATATTTGTTTCTTTAGAATACAATGTTCTAGTTCAACAATACTGCTCTCCAAAGAGTAGATACTGCTATCACCATTCATTTCCTCATTTTCAAAAAACCCACCAGCATCTACCTGATTGGCTGTCCAAGTTGATTACATGGTCAATTATATGTTTATAATCTGTTTCCTATGTGACTGTATCTTGGTAAAAAATCAAACAAGATGATTATCAAGGTATGAAGGTTCCAAACCATATGGGGATTTATACACAGTTTAATCTTGAAATTCACCTCTGATGCTTAGGCAGCAATGAAACTCCTGAAGCATGGAGTTGATAGAACAAAAGTCTGGGAGCTCTTGGACCAATAGTACTGCTGCATGGCTGAAGTTGCAGGATCTGCTTCAAGGCTCACAAAGAGCAAATCTGAGAGAAAAGGTGGACCTGGTGGAGTTCTCTCAGTTGATAAAAGCAATTCCATGTAGTGTATTCAGTCATTGTTATTACTGATTAAGCATGAACCTCAATCTTGTTTGTTACTTGATTATGTTGGCTTTCCTGTATATGTTGTAATTTTTGCAAACTCACTGGTGTTAGTTCTGGAAGTTTCTGTAATCCAACAACAGAAAAATCTCCTGATTGTAGTACGTTTTGTTTGTTCAGTAGAAAAGACACAATACTCCCAACCACAGCACTCACATGAGATGACATAGGAAGAGCTTTGTCTAAAATGATACCCAGCTCTCATTTCTGAGCCTTGACTGATCTTCAGATACCTGGTTTTGGGAAGTCACGGTATAGAAAATTAATATAGTTGTGAATTTGCACAATAAATAATCTATACATGCAAACAGATTTTAATTCTTTTACTGAATTCACTTCTGATAAGACATTTTTATAATGTCTCTCTCCATACATATGGCTTCCAGAGTTATCTCTGTTAACATCTCATAGCAACAACCAAAAAAAAAAAAAGACAAACATTTTTTTTCAAATATTAGAAAATAATGAGAATGCTTTCTGTGAGAAATCCTACATGGTCAAGGCTATCAGAAACTAACCGGTTCATACTGAAGGCGTATAAGCATGTCTAGCAAAGTAGATAATATTGATACCTTAATATAAAGTCTGAACAATAGTCCCCCAATCATCAAGCCATATTGTGCAACATCTGGAATTAGTTCAGGGAGGATATTAGCAAAAGGAACTATCATTCTTTTCTGGAAAAGTCACTTAGGGCTAATATGAAGTCTATGACAATACCCAATATAACAATACTGCGCTGATGCAGATTTGATCTAATAGATATTTTATGCCATATCAAGATGAACTGCATATTTACAATTTACAATAAATTCCAGTCCTTCAGAATCCAAGCCCTAAATAATGAAAATAAATGATAGGCACAAAATAATACCAGGAACATAGAGTAGCCAACATTTGAGGGGGCTGGACAAACATTCTGATTATTGAGAACATGATACCATGAGAATATATGGAGACTAGAGGCATTCCTACTAATATACATGCAGCTGGAGGTTGGTACACTGCAGCATTTAATTTTTAAATTAAAATAATCATTAAAAAAATAGTCATGGAGCAAGGAATCTGGGGGACAAAGGGGGAGATATTTGGGACATGATGGAGCCCATGGACACTGCTGCCTCCCCACATAAAACTTGAAAGTTATACAGCCAATTTTTAATCAAGGTTGCCAGAGGAGTATCACTACTATATGCAATAGACTGTACATACTATTATATTCCAAAGTAGTTATATTTCAATAATGAAAACATAAACTGCTGTATATACAACCATCAGAATTTACTAGAATGTGTGCTAAAATCTAGCCTTTTACCTTTCAGAAAGTTGGGGGAGGATATGATGGTAAAAATATGGTAAGGGGGTAATCAAACTGCTTGAAAACAGAAAAAGTATTTTCTTAGCAACAAGGCCTGGACACTCTTATATAAAATGAGTAATTATGGATTTGTGACTTCACATGGAAAAGCAATTAGAAGGATTCAATAGCAGTTCTTAAACAATCTCTTCCTATGTATCGGTGCCAAATTACTAATTCCTAAAACTGCTTTTTCTTAAGGTGCAATTCCCTATATAACTATTCAATGAGAGCTAAGCTCATGCAGTTTTAAATCAATGAATGATTCACATATTATGATGTGTTGTTATTGGTTATAATGTAATGTAATATATGAATTCTTCCATTATAATTTGTGAACCATAATTAATGAATACAAAATAGAACCATATGTCTTGCTCAGCAAACCATGGTTAAAAGAAAACATGGCTTACAGAACTCCTGTGGTTCTTTTTCATTCATCTTTTTACATTCATCCACACATAATACACAGGTGTACCTTCAAGAATGAAATATAAAGGCAAAATAATTGGAAATGCATTGATTTTAGGCATGATTGCATTCATATTTTTAAAAACAGATTAAAGGTACTTGACATAAGCTAACTGACTGACTGAAGAGAAAACAGAGTTAAGATTCAGAAATATGGACTGAAGGCTAGCGTGAGATCTCTGACAAACATAAAGGGTTGCACTTCCATAAATTCAGCAAAATTCTGTAGACATGCACACACGGGATATACACACTTGTCTGGTTCATACCTCTTAGTAAAGACCTCAATACAAGATATTTACCATATTTTTCCATCTATAAGACGCCCCTATGTAC